ACATCATTGAGCAGCTGTCAAGGGCATTTGGAAATCACACAGCGAATTCCAAATCAGCAGCGAATACATCTCAAAATGCATGGTATCCATTGTAGACATGAATCGCGTAGAAAAATCCAGAAAGGACACAATGCATGAATCGCAAATGAATGGCGCGAAAACGACGGAAAAGACCACTTCAACGCCAGCCATTCCAAAATTTTCGCTTTGTCCACACTGATTCCTTCGGTGGAATCTTTTGACGAAGTGTACTACGACAGTGGTGATAATAGCGGTATTTTTTATTTATTGAAGTGCAGCACTGTTTTTCAATGACTTCATTTGATGATGTAGAAACATAAGGTGAAATGATTGGCTATTATTGACGAATGAAAGAATGTATGATTGGCTGAAATTTCCTAAATCAAATCGTGGCCGCTACGATGCTTTTAGTGGGTTTTGCTGCTGTGTACGAATCGTCATTTCATTTTGACTACTTTGGTTCAATTTTTGTGTCAAAATTCGAAAAATTGAGCTTAATCCTTACATTTTTGTGAAATGCATAAATCATTCTGGGACATAGGTAGTACATTATTATATGTAACATACAGTACATGTACAATAGCGACCGATGAAGTATCGTAAAGACACGACAGATGTGGAGTCTTTAGGGGCTCATTACTCGATCATAATCTCATTCTACAATTTGCCTCGCCATGAGCAGTTCCTACCTTCCCCGCTTCCTCCAGTGCCGAGCAGATGCTGCATTTGGTCGCACTTCTTGGTTCAAAAATAGTATCTCTGGTTGCCCCTTGTCCCTTGGTGTCCCTGGTGCCCCTACCTCCGACTGTCTTTCTGAGCGGTTGTGTGGTCATGGAACTTAGCATTACGCAATTCCTCCATCGGTTGGGCTGGACATAATCTCTCCGGAGTTGTTCCGCAATCATCGTAAGGAGTAGACATTGCAGCTGAGGTTCCGAATCCATACGCAGTCTTAAATTAATCGGTCGATGACGCGCAAAAAAACGCGTGTTCCTGAGGTTCCTTGCACCACTGGCATCGCCGACCATTTTTCCAGCCAGTTGTATTTTTAAGAAAATATTTGATATTTATAATAAAAATTCAATAAATAACGCAGAAACAGTGCGAAAATTGTGCCAAGACCTTTACCGCTCAACCGACAATTAGCGTAAGGTAATTATCCTGCTTCGTCAAGTTATAACAGAAGCAAGCAATTCGGACGCTCGAAATACCCTGCAGTTTATTACAGACCTGGCTATTAAACAAGAAAAAATCAAAAATGGAACATATACTTCAAACATTGCTACAACAAATTGACCGCCAAGAAGGTACAATAGAAGCAGTCGCAAGTCCAAGCCCTGCAAGCAGCAAATGTACGCGCTGCTCGAACACAAGAAGTCATAGTGGAAGGCCTTACAATACCCAGGTATCACGAAAGAATGGATGAGAGTATCAGCCTCTAAAAATACATCAAGTCAACACCTTTTTCAAGGCAAAGAATTTGAATCCTAGCAAGACCCTGCAACACAAGAGCGTTGCATCGCCCTAATCGTAGCCAATTTTC